CTGTGTCTATGCTCTGCCAGCTGGGTCCACTTGAATGAACCCGTTAGGGAGTTAGACCCACCCACGTGGTCCTCTGGGGAGCCCCCACGTGTGGGATAGTGAAAGACTCCATGGTGTTTTTGTGTGTGTTCTGTTAGAAATGAAGGTTTGGTTCTTCAGGTACCATGTATTCACTGAGTGTTGAATCCAGGGGGCACCACTCGTCTTCAGAGGCCCAGGAACCAAAGTTAGAGGCAGCTTCTGGGTGACTGAGTCTGGCGAGGGAGATGATGTGGCCATCCTAGCTAGTGGACTTACTTCCTGGGTCTGAATCGCCTCTGTGTGGTTGGGAACCCCACTTATGGCCAAGGGTGATGGAGAAGAGGAACAAGGTGGCCCTGCTTTGTCTAGGGACAAACTGTGAGCATGAGGGCAACTTGAGGTCAGATGGGTCTTGTAAGTAAGCTGTGGCGAGGCTCTGGGTACTCCTCCGGGGGCTCAGTCAGAGTCCAGCCAGGCGATGTACAGAGACCTGTGTAAAGGTGCTCCAGGTGACACCTGGAAGGTGGGGTGAGAGCAGCAGCCAAACCAGGAGGACGGAGCTGACCGTGACTAGAACTGGGGAGACCAGGTGTCCAGTGTGGGGATGCTTGTCTGCGGGGCCTCGTTCCCATCTGACCCCCAGGGAAGGGGCCAGCTTTGTATCCCTCACACCCACGTGCTTAGGCCAGGCCACCCTCTCCACCCAGCTTGGTGTCCCATCCATGCTCCACGAAAGAGGATGGTGGCCCCACAACTCAGCAAGGTCGTCAGACTTCACTCAACCATGAGTTGGAATTTCTGGAAGCAGGTTGGTCCTCAGTGGGCCCCACGTTCGAGGCTCCCAGCTCTCCAAACATGACTTTGGGGCAAGTACCTTGACTTAGACATTTCGTTTTCAACTTAACAAGTTCCAAGTAAGTTTTATAACAAAGTGAAATCGAAGCAAACTTTGTCTTGAAATGCCATAGATTAGTCCAGCTTTGCCTGGTCACATTGGGGGTGGTCACAGCAGGGGTTCTCACTGTCATATTTCTTTTACCCAGGAAATGGGCAGCAGAGCCACGTGTTCCCGGAGAGGAGCAGACAGAATAGCCCTTGAGCACGTTCCCAGCTGAGACCAAAGTGACAGACTTCCGCCACAGGACTTGGTGCCTGCTGTGACCCAGATCCTTTCCACAGCATTACGGTCAGTGTAATGGAGCCAGGTGGCCTGGGGCTGCAGACATCGGCACATGGTCTGTGTGGTGTGTGGGCATGAGGGATGTGCTCTTCAGCTGGCCGCTTGCTCCGAGTCCCACGCTGACTGACCCTAATGGGGAGGGGACCCTAGGCTGGTGGCTAGTATCCCATGTTGGGGCAGCAGCTCTGTGTAGAGAACTGGGAAACCCTATCTTGGGGAGCCTTCCCCTGGTCCCCAGTGCTGCCCCCATGGACAAGGGCAGGAAGCATTTCTGTGGGGCAGGGAGGCCCGTGGGTGGCAGCATTTGTGGTGGGCCGGGCAGTGTTCTGTTGTACATGGGGTCACTATGAGTCGGTACCGACTCGATGACACCTAACAACAACTAGTGTGGACTCCTGGTGTGGTGCTGGGGAATCAGCATTGGACTGCGAACCACAAGGTCAGTGGTTCAAACCCACCAGCTGTTCCATGGAAACCACCTTGTACAGTGTGGCTATGAGTCAAAACTGACTCGACATCACTTCACAACTAACCTAACAGGTTGGTTTTTCAAAACCACAGTGATTTCACTAGAGAAAACCTGATTGCGTAAAAAAGCCACAAAAATCACACAGCAATTCTGTTACGTGAGGCTGCCACACGTTAGAATCAGTTTGTCGGCACCAAGGTAGGAGTGGGCTCTCCTCCAGGAGAGGCTGGAGGCCCGAGGGGGTGGGGGGACCCTTAGTAGAGTTGTTGGGTTATTAAGTCGGTTCATTCCTGCTGATAGCGTCTGGGACCCCTTGGTACATGTTGCTTTACAGATCTCCCCCGCCCCTTTAGCTAGGTTAGCCTGAGTTTATAGATCGGTAAACTGGGTGAAATGCCCAAAAATCGTGCCTTCCCACCCAGCCAACTGGTTTCCCTGGTCAAGGTCAGGACCCCAAGTCTCATGGCACCTGCCTGGAAGTGCGAGCCCTCACCGAACCCACGGAGTCTCCCCGGGTGCTCACTCCCAGGAGGCGCAAGCGTGCCAAGGGAATATGTCTTCAAGGCATGCCAACACTAACGGGGTTGGAGGCCCGCTGCAGGCTCTGCGTGCCTCATATAGACCACACGTTTGTGCACACAGTCCAGAAGGAGGTACTGTAGCTGCGTTCCTAATTGAGGAAACTGAGGTGCTGTTGGAGTGATCTGTCCAAGGTCAAGATCCAATCCAGAGCCTCACCCTGCTCTGGGTGTCGCCTACCCTGCCTCCAGGGAGATGTGGCGTGTGTGTTCTGTGTAATCCCCCTGCCTCTCCAGAGCAGATAGGAGGAAAAACTCCGGTATCTTTACTCCACTTTGCACGGGTGGATCTACCTCTGATAGTCATTGTGGGGACACAGACAGTAGAGGGCATCATTAGGTTGCTTCCTGGGGAAGACGAGGAACAAACGAGAAAGCTCCAAAAGAACAAGTTTTCTAAAATGTCACAATCGATCGGGTTTAGCCTGATGTGAAAAACACTTGGAAGCTGCCCCTCATGTCCTCTCAAGGAGGACAGATTTTTGAAAAGCTAACCCTAACCCCTCATCAACTCTTCTCATGTTGGTCCAAGAATTGAGTTCACAGTGCAAACAGAACCCTGAAGCCAGGAGGCAGACGGGGTGCACGGAGCTGTCCCTGGACAAGCCTGACACCCCCCGAGTCGCCACCTGATCCATGTGGGGGCCAAATCCAGACTGAACTTATTTCGTTCCACGTAGGCATGGTTGGAAACTTCCCCTGAGCCGGCCTCCCTCCCTCTGAGGCTGAGGAGACGTGGTACCACCTCCACCCCGGATGCCAGACACACACAGCTGTAAAGTTGTGAATTTATTGCATATGTAAAACAAAATGAACCTGACCTCCGGGTCCGCCGGCTGCAGTGTTGTTTCCAGCTGGTTCCATGAGCACAGTAAATAGAACTAGCATCTCTTTAAATACTTTTTTGATTTTGACTTAAAACAGAACCTTAGTGTACACCTCTCACAAAATAATCAGCAATAAAAATGGTGGGAAAAGAGTAACAAGGAGATAGCAGCAATACGTAAAAACAAGACGTTACAAAATAAATTAAAAAATACATTATAAAGTGGTTGATAAACAAAAATAAACCAATCTTAAAAATCCATATTCTGTGTGGGTGAGCTGGGGTGGGATTCTTGGCAGGGACTTCCTGACACCTCGGGCTGTGACCACCAGCTAGAATGTGGGGCATGGCAGCACGAGCTTGGCATCGAATGTGGAGCTGCTGGCAGGTCGGCTTTCTGAAGCCAGCGCTCTGCTGTGCCTCACTCACCCTCCTCCCTGCCAGGGCCACGGTGTCTGCTGTGTCCCTGAGTGTCGGCGGAGCCCCTTGGCTGCTATGCTGTCTTCTTAGAGTGGGTCTGTGGGGGTCAGACAGGTGCAGAGCCTCTGGTGTGGCCTATTTGGAAGGAGAAGACGAGCACACTGGAGGAACACCACATCCTCTCCAAGAAGTGGCCCTTTACTCTGATACACCACGAGGCCAGCATCGTCTGAGCCTCCTCCTCAGGCCAGGTGTGAGAGCAGACCTACTGCGGGGTCTGTAATTTCCCTTCTTTCTCCAGGAGTGGATGACAAAGGGAGATAGAACCAGCATGGAGCCAGTGAAGGGCAGCGGGATGCACGGTCCTCCTCGGTCTTCCTCACTGCTGGGTGAGCTGAGCCCCTGGCGTGACCATCACCTGCTGGGTCAGCTGGACTTGCTGCTGCAGCGCGGATCTGGTTCACCCACTTGAAGCAGACTGCCCTCAGGGCAAGCAGAGGAGCATCCGTTCCCACACACCCATGTAAAGGGATTAGCAACAAAACAGAACTATCGTCCACCATGACCAGCAGCAGCTGAATGCTCTTAGCAAAAGCCCTGCACAGAGTCCAAAGGCAAAACCGACACAAAGTTGAAAGCACGTCCTTTTGTTCAAACTTTCGTGGAGGCTGGAAAATGGTTTCGGAATGCAACGTGTACCTCTCCTCCTCCAGAGACACCTGGGCAGGTGAGCCAAGGGTCATGCCCCACCTGACATCTGTCCCCCCTGGCGGGTTTCGGTCATGAAGGATGTTGGGACCCCTCCCACGGCTAAGGCTTAGCTCTCAGCAGCTGGAACACATTTGTTTTGTGAGCTCGAGGCTGTCCACTGATGGTGAGCTCGAGGCTGTCCACTGATGGTCGAATATTTCAAGTACCATGCTCACTGGCCGCCCTCTGGAATGCTGGCGGACAGGGTGCCGGGGTCGGCTGGTTGGGTCTAAGGCTGGTTTGGTCGGTTCTTTGACAAGCTCCACTGTGTTGGGTTTTCATTGGAAAAATATTTCACACTGGATGATGCGGCAAAAGGGACTCTTAAAGATACTTTATCTCTGTGCAAAATAAACGTCTCAGGCTGGACACCCTGGAAAGAGGCAGCCGTGCCTCCAGCGGAAGCTACTGTCTTAATACCTCTATCTTCCCGAAGAAGCAGCACGCATCTGTTGAACGGTTTTCAGTTAGATGCTGATCTGCCCATGGTGGGCTGCGGGTGTGGAACCTGGAGTTCCAGCTCAGGTAAGATCGTTGCTGCCTACCTCACAGAGGCCTGGGCACCATGCCTGTCTGCTCCGGGTCACCACCAGGGCAGAATTTCCTGTGGGACCCAAGTCTGACCCTGGCTGCCTTTACTGGATGGGTGATGGGGAGTGGGAGTCAAAAAGGAGGAAGAAGGGGGTGGGGCCACCAGCCGAGTCCCCCCGCCCTGCCCCTTGGGTCATCCGGTCTCTTGGCGTGGTGTCGCGGGAAGCACCAGAGGTCAGTGTGCATGTGGCTGGTGGTCGGAGCTCGAGCCTGGGCTCCCAGCTGCCCTTCACTCTACCGCAAACCCGCAGGTTTCCTCCACGGCGGTCAGCAGCTTCTCATAGAGCTTCTCGTAAGACTCGTATGGCGGGATGTCGATTCGGTTGAAGCTGCAACCAGACAAAAGTGGGGGTGACCAAGGACATATGCAGAGTACTCAGGTGAGCACTATCACATGGGGGGCTGTTACACTGTGGCCCCAAGGCCCTGGGGGTGCACTGTTGGGAAGGAACGGCTCTGGGGACCCATAGGGCTGCTCTTAGAGAGTCCTCATCCCAGCTCCCCAAATCCCCACACAACACCCAAGACAGAAATGGTTTTTAAACCACTAAGGATATAGGCCCCTGCAAATACCAATTCTGAAGGTGAAGTTTGTGGTAAAAGTTGTTTTCGGTAGGCAGGTGAGATGGAAACTGGGGTCCAGATAGAAACTCGACTTTCCCCACCTAACACTTCCACTCAACCAAGATGGCAGCCCGTGACCAACAGGCACACATCTGTCTTCCTAACTCCACGAAGAAGCCTGAGTGGGCCCAGGCCTGTGAGACACTGAGCTCTGTCGTCCACATGAAGATGGACAGAGCACTACAGACTGTGGCGTCCTTACCAGGTGTGGGCCTTCGGAAGGTTGTCCGTGTTTGCGTCTATGAGGTGGATAGTGAAGAGCCGGGGCCCTGCCGCGCCTGTAGAGCCTTACAGGACAACATTCTAGTTAATGCGCTTCACAAGCCAGAGTCCCGTGCCCGCCTGCAGGGACCACCCAGGAGCCCAGACCAGGGGAGCTGACATCATGGTGATTCCTTTTTCAAACATTTCATGAGTGGGCACAAGATTAGGAGAAAGAAGGATCTAGGGTTCTGGGCCCTCTCCAGGTAGAGCCCTGAGTCCAGCTTGATGAAGGAAGGTCTACACCGAGTTCTCAGGACAGGAAGTCCACCTGCTGGTGCACTAAACTCACCCAGCTTGAGAGTAAGAAATGAACTAGATGCCCACCAGCTAGAGACACCGATAAGAACCTTAAAAGTGGCTTTTTAAATTACAAATGCCAAGCAAGATTTGGCCTCACGGAATTCTACATTGCTGCCTTAGTTTGGCACTGGGGGTGTGAGAGAGGGAAGCCCCCTGTTTCTTCATCTGTACAACAGAGAAAAGGGGGCTGTTCTAGTTAGTTACCTGGCTGGTCAGCACAGAGCGGTGCTCTCAGGTACCAGGGGGGTCTCAAAATTTTTGTACAAAGTGAAATAGAATTTTTCTGTGAACTTTCTGAAACACCTTGTACACATGAGCCCTCTCACAAACCCCTGCAGCAACTCAAGTGACATTAACCCCTTCACTGTCTGTCTGAGAAGTGCGGATCCATCCATACCCTGCTGGGAACTCCGTCCCACCACCAGACACCTTACTGTAGGGGAATGTGGCCCAGCAAGCAGCAGCTTGGAAACAGGTGCACAGTGAGTGGGGCACCAACCCCTCTAGGCTGGGCGCTGTTGTTCCCTTGTGCTGGGCAGGAACCCCACAGAACCAAACAGCCCTGCCTCCACCTCAGTCACCTTGCAGAGCCTTGAAGCCCTGGAGAGGCACGCGCGTCGAGCCAGTCACAAACTGCAGGAGCCGGGCCCTCCGCTCTTCGTCGAAGGCCTCCACAGCCTGCCAGAACCACTGGACCACGTTGCTGTCAGCCACACAGTGTTTTAGGCGCGTGTTGGACTTCCAGTCGTTCAAGTCTATCTTATCTAGGCCACCGATGATCAGCTGCAAAGGGCAGGTAGTTACTTAGTACAAGTCTCCCTTACACAGGATCCTCGGTGGTGCTATGGGAGAAGCACTGGACTGCCAACCACAAAGTCAGTAGTTCAAACCCACCAGCTGCTCCTCAGAAACCCTACAGAGGGTTACTGTAAGTCAGAGCCACTTATCACCACCACCAATCATAAACCCAACCCCCAGCTACCCCCTGGAAGGCAGAACAGAACGATCCTAAAGGGTGAAGAGAACTTGAGAGAATACAGGAATCAAAGTCACAGAGGAAGTAGCCTCTACCCCAGGCCCTAGAGAAAGCTCCAGAATTACCAGCAGCAGGCTAAGATCAACAGCTGAAGGCCAAACACATAGGACAACTGTCTCAAACCAAAGAATCAACCAGAGTCGCTGCTGCCCAAAGGGACACCCGCCTTGCCAGTCCTAAAGGAGCAACGGGCCCATCACACACACACCTCCAGTTCCTTCTGGTCAAAGGGCTTCAGTAAATGTTGAGGGATGAGCTCGTTGAAGCCTTTCTGCAGCGCTAGGAACTGGGCTTCAATTCCTCTCATAAACCTCCAGTTGACGTACAACCTGAAAAGGAGGAAGACCCACAAATTGAAAGGAATCGTGTTTCTCCCATCCAGAGCCTCACAGTATGTTCCCTACCTACCAAGGATCAAGTTCATTAGCAGGTGCTACTGGACATTCTGATTCTTTGTGGAAGGGGCCAGACCTGCCTTCCCACAGCATCCATCAGAACGTCCACGTACAATGGAGAAGGACATATAGGACGTAAAAGCTGACAGCTTAGGCACAGACACACCTGTTTCCCAGAAGTAGCCACTCTGGCGGCTGCTGCTCAGGCAGTTCAGGCACAAGGACCTCATGTGAAGGGGTACAGTGGTCTAAACGCATACCCCACTGTGCCCGGGGCGGTCCCCTGGACGTTACCGGACATATTCTTTCTTGTTCTCCTCTGTCACAGGGACATTCCTGCCGTTGGGTTTCAGTTCGTGCTGAAGAAGCCGCCCGAAGGCGTTGTGCTCCACGCAGAAGGTGTGGTCCAGCACGGGGGTGATGTCATTCTCCCTGTCCAGGGCAGAACGCAAGGGGGTACCGTTAACACCACACAGCAACAAGTGGAACAGGGCAGGGACCAACTGCCACACCCGGAGCAGCAAAGGGCCTGAGGGTGGGCACAGCTGCAGATAGTGGCTTTGTCATCATAGGAGGTGCTGATGGGCACCCCCCGCTGCTTTCTGACGGAGCTAGAGGGGAATCCACGGAGAAAAAGCCACTAGGAAGACAAGATCACTGTTCATAGTATTGCTCCTCTTTAGGTAGTGGGATGGGACACAAAGTAACACCAGCTACTCCAAGAAAGGACTATGGGAGAATCTTGTTTCTCTCATTGTGTTAGTTTTTTAAGTCATCCATATTTACCTGTTGTTGTTGGTGTTAAGTGCCGTCGAGTCGGTTCTGACCCATAGCGACCCTGTACAGGGTTTCTGAGGGTGTAAATCCTTACGGGAGTAGAAAGCCTCATCTTTCTCCTGCGGAGCAGCTGGTAGTTTCGAACCGCTGACCTTAAGGTTCGCAGCCCGATTCGTAACCACTACGCTACCAGAGCTTTACACAGTATTAATTCAAGGCCAACTGAGGCGGGTTGGACAGGAGGCAGCTAAGGTGGTTTGGTTGTTAAGTGCCTGCTCCAAAAAAGATTTCCCATCTTGGAAAACCCTACACCAAAGTGACTGTGAGCTGAACTCAACAGCTGTGGGTTTGGTTTGGGTTTGATGGCCCCTTCTTAAGGCCACGTAAAGGAGCTCTGGGAGCGTAGTGGTCACGAATCCGGCTGCTAATCTCACGGTCAGCATTTTGAAACTACCAGCCAGCCTGCAGGATATAGATGCGGCTTTCTGCTCCTATGAAGATTTACAGCCTCGGAAACCCTGTACAGGGTCGCTGTGGGTCGGAACCAACTTGAGGGCACTTAAGAACAAGCAAGTCTGTGTGTTGGAAGAAGTACAGCCAGAATGGCAAGGCTTCGTCTCATCAAGCTCAGGAAAGTGTAGGGTCAACAGGAATGGGGAAGACCCTCACTGAGATAGACAGCCACAGGGTGACACGAAGTTTCATTTCGTTCTGTCATGCGTAAGGCCACTGAGAGCTGGTGCTGACTTGACAGCACCTAACAACCATTTTAAGAAACCAGTTTCTCATCCTCATGTTTGAAACACTGAGGAGGCAGCCCAGAGCCAGGCCGCAACTCAGCTTTGCCTCAATTTGGAGCCCTTCATTCCTGAGGTGCTGTCTTGCTCCCAGCAGCTCCTCACTCTGCAAAGTCGGGCTGCAGGTCAGTTCTGAACCCAGAGCTGCTACATGTTCAGCTATCTTGTGACTTTCTTGACCCCACTACAGCATAACTGGAAAAGCCAAGCATTCCCTCCTCCTAACATTCCTGACATTCTCTCCAAAACAGAAAACAGCCAAAGACACTAGTCCTTGAAAAAACTGGCCCAACAGGAGGAAGAGAAAACGTCAGTTAAATAGTTGCTCAGAGTTGGCCTTTTGTTGAAATACACTGGTTTCCGTCTCATACTCAGGCAGGTAACTCGGAATTTTCCGTGAAGTGTACTTACAGAATCCACACTAAGCTCTTGTGTAGTTCGGGATCTACCGACTCCAAATCCGAGAGCTGGATGGGTTTCCCCAGTAGCTGCTTGTAGAAGGGAACCGTGAAGCCCCCGTTGATGTAGTGCCCATGGAACACAGCAAGGCCCATGATGCGACCCACAAAGTGGAAGTAAGACAGATGGTCCTGTAGGGGGAACCAGAGGACACCCATCATTAGGACATGGCAGCCGGTTGGCACCACAGGCTTCTTGGGAGACCTGTTCCTCAGGCATCCCAATAGGAACCTGTCCCCCATCAGAATGCGGGGCACGTTTTCTGCTCAGAATCACTGTATAATGTGTGGGGCCCAAGTACAGTGAAAACGCAGGACCCTTTGTTGAGAATGAGGAGAAAGAAAATTTCAGAAAACGGGCAGCTGGCCCTGTGGATGGCGCAGAAAGGAAGGAGCAGAGGGGTAAAAATTCCCTGCTCCCACCGCTCCCCCTGCCCACCTCCACCCCCGGAAAAAGAAATCCTGCAAAAGAAACCAGCACAGACAAGCTAATCATTTTAAAACCAGGAACGTACCTCACTTTCTACTTTAAATTTGCATTATAACCATCTCATAGGATTCCTCCAAACATATCTGAATGCTCAAGTGGGGCTTCTCCTTGATTTCTCAGCAAAAGGAATAAAGGTCTGAGTCCCTCCAGGGCAGCAAAGCTCATTCAGTACACATATACTCAAGCTATCGGTCTCAGTGACGACATCATACTTAGGTTCCCAATGACCACACGATCCAATTCTCACCCGCACATTCATTCTATACTCCCGAGTCTGCACACGTCTTACACCAGAAACCAAGACTCCAGTTAAAGATATCTCCAAGGACAGGAAGGCTGAATGGGTGTGAGGGAAAGGGAGCATATACTAAGGAGTTTTTAGATATTACCAAACACCTGAGGGAATGAGTCCCGGGGGATATTACGGCAATTGGCATATAACAATCCACAAAGACAATGCTCAACATTCTACTTTGGTGAGTTGTGACTGGGGTCTTTAAAAACTTGACAGCTGCCCTCTAAAGTGCCATTCTTAGTCTCCCCCAGCCTGGACAAAAGAGTGAAAAAAATAAAAAACCGGCAAGTGGACTAATGGACCACCCCCATGAACATCAGTTTTCACAACCAGGAGACCCGAAGAACTCAATGGGGCATGGCTACCAACTGCTCTGAAAAGGTTTCCACTAGAATGTCCTGAATAGAGTGGAAGAAATTGGGGGAACAAAACTCAAAATTATATATAAAGAAAAAAAGACCAGGTGGACCCCCCAGTAGGATAAGCACTAGACTGCTAACCACAGGGTCAGCAGCTGAAACCCACCAGTTGCTCCTCAGAAACCCTACACAGGATTGCTGTGAATCACAAGTCAACACTGGTGTTAGGAAGATGCACACAAGAAACCCTCTCCAACGCACTCCCCAAGCTCTTCATTCCTCTGTACTTACAGGATTGATGGAGGAATCTGGGTTGATTTGCAACATGTAAATGTTGTCCGTAGAATACTGGAAGAGCCCGTAATATGGATTCAACATTTCATGGCACAATAAATAAAGCCACTCCCTAGGAAGAAGCACAAGGACATCTGTTATGTGCTGCCGTTTCCAGTTTCAAATCTTAACATGAGTTTCTTCTGAAGAGAGGGGGTGGATTCACTCACCACCCCCACCCCCCATAGGCTGACCCCAGTATAAGCGAGGTGAGCGGCTCTCTGAGAGGATGGTCTGTTCAGACCATGCAGCTTGGCCTAGGGAAGTGAGAGCACACTTCCGGAAGCCCCAGAAACGGCTTTTCTGTTCTCAAAAAGAAAGAGTCACCAACTTTCCCAGACAAAACTCAGTGTTCACAACATTTAGAAGCAACTCATGAATCATTATGAATCCCCCAGGCCAATGATGTGAATGGTGACAAACTTGGGGATTCTGGGTCCTTTTCAGGTTGCCTTTTCTTTCGCCACAGTAAACATATTTAAATAAGAAGAAAACCTATCAGTCTTGGGAGGCAGGTAAAGGAGTTTCAGAGAGACTTCGGGTCTAATTCTGATGCCCTTTTATGTGGAATTCAGGAGTCTCACTTTCAGAATGAAGTATGAGCCTTTAAAAGTCTGGAAGGGGTAATACAGCATGTGGGAACTCTCTGAATTCCTTTATATTGGAATCATTTCACTATAAAAATGGTTTTAATTGATGTTTTTAAATCTCAAACAAGCAAAACAGAAACTAAATGATTGAATTGTGGTTGGCCAGGTATTGACAAACCCAAGGATGATGGGATTTTATGAAAATACCTACAGCGGATCCACAACTAGCCTTTTGTTCTACCACTTGAAGATCTTTTCGAATGGATACACAACCCATTCCCATAGCAGCCCCTCTCTGAATTTTATTCCGAAATGTCTTACTCTTTCAAACAGGACACGGAAAAGAAGCACAAATGCCAGCGTGTAAACCCTTCTCCTGTGAATGGTGACAGTTGGCAACCACCTATCAGACCAACTCAAAAGAATGGGCAAGAGAGCTGCTGTGAGGTGGGGGCTCCAAATGGGACAAAACGGATCAACATGAGTATTCTAGAACACTTAACTGTGCTCATGAGGAATCTGTACCTGGACCAAGAGGCAGTTGTTTGAAAAGAACATGGGAACACTGAATGGTTTAAAATTAAGAAAGGTGTGCGACAAGGTTGTATTCCTTCACCATACTTACTCAACATGTATGCTGAGCAAATAATCCGAGAAGCTGGGTTATATGAAGAAAAACGTGGCATCAGGATTGGAGGAAGACTCATTAACAACCTGCGATATGCAGATAATACAACCTTGCTGGACCAATAAACAACGTTCTTATCAACAGAAAAAATTGAAGTTGTCAAGGACTTCATTCTTCTTGAATCAACTATCAACACTCACAGAAGCAGCAGTCAAGAAATCAAATGACACATTGCATTAGGAAAATCTGCTGCACAAGACCTTTTTTTTAAAGTGTTGAAGAGCTTGAGAACTAAGGTGCGCCTGACCCAAGCCATGGTATTTTCAATAACCACATATGCATGCAAAAGCTGGACAGTGAATAAGGAAGACTGTAGAAGAATTGATGCCTTTGGGTTATGGTGTTGAAAGTGCCGTGGACTCCCAAAAGAACCAACAGATCTGTGTTGGAAGAAGTGCATCCAGAGTCCTCCTTACGAGGCCAAGATGGCCAAACTTCGTCTCTCATACTTGCACATATTGTCAGGAGGGAGCAGTCATTTGGTAAGTTGGAGGGTCAGAGAAAAAGAGGAAGACCCCCAGAGAGATGGATTGGCCAAGTGGCAGCACCGATGAACTCAAGTGTGCCAACAGTAGTGAGGTTGGCCCAGGATCAGGCAGTGTTTCGTTCTGCTGTGCATAAGGTCGCTGTGGGTCAGTACCGACTCAATGGCACCTAACAACAACAACTAGCACTCAGGTGCGCCTCCCAGTTCGGGAGTTTGAATTTGTGAGACACCATTTTCAAAACAGCCAAGGAGCTGCAACAGTCTAGACAGGAAGTGACTGAAATGTGAGCAAAGAGTGTGACAGGGACAAGGTGAAGAGGCATCTTAGCAGCTCTTACAGATGACCAGAACACACCTAACTACTCATACGACCGAGGGACGCAACGGGCTCAGGGCCCAGCACAGACACACACGAGGGGCTTCACAAAGGCCGTGGGAAATGGAAGGAACTCATCATGAACATTTGAAGCCCCTGCTCCACCTGCAACTTAAATTTTTGGGTAAAATCCGCAGTTATAGACTGAGAAGAGTTGGGGTCAAATAACTACCAAGCTCAAACTGACTCAGTTAAGAGGCACAGTTCTTTTCCCGTAAGTCCTGGTGGCACAGTGGTTAAAGTGCGCAGCAGCAAACCAATATGTCAGGGGTTCGAACCCACCGGTCACACTGAGGGAGTCTGCATCCATGGAGATTTACAGCCTTGGAACCTAAGGGAGCAGCTCAGCTCTTCCCCAGAGGGTCCCTGTGAGTCAGCACTGATTCTGCAGAGCTCGGCTTTGTGGCTGCCGCTCCCCCATCATGTTAATCAAGGATAAGTCTTCCCTAAATGACAGACTGGGCCAGCTATAGAAAATACAGGACACTAAGTCCCATCACTTCAAGCTCATGTGTATGCCTAGAGGTGCTGTAGGATCAGCACAGGAATGCTAACTGCAAGGTCAATGGTTCAAACCCACCAACTGCTCTTTGGGAAACACTGTACAGGTCACTGAATTGACGGCACTTAGGAGCACCAATGTGGGGAAAAAATGTAAATGGAGAGGCGGACTGAACCTATTCAGAGACCCAGCAGAGAGAAGCACACACAACTCATTCCACTTGCACTCAGGCCACAGGTGGACCAGCAAGGAGGTCTCCCACCGGAGTGTGCACATGGCGGCAAGAAGTCACCAAAAGGAAGATGTCAGACTCTTGGGGCAATCTGGAAAAATACCTCCCCGTTTCTAGCGCAGAGGTGTGCCACAGCCAACCTGACACACCCCTCTCTTCCGGGCTGGGCTCAAGGGCAATGGAGGGTCAGAACATGAGGTGGCGAGACAATGAAGAGGAGCAGAAAGTCTGTCCCAGGGCCCAAAAGTCACACCCTGAGAAGACTTTTCATTGTCCTTTTTTTTTTTGGCTGCTGAAGAAATCCCAACTCCAACCGGAAACGGAATGAGGCCTACATTTGCTGGCGACACAGGTTGAGAATCTGTGGGTGTTTTCTCAACTGGGAGAACAAGTGGCTGCTTCTCGAGCTGGGGAGTCCTCCGAGGCCTTTCCTTTGTAGCCCCTCAGAGTTAACCGCTCTGGATTTCTGCAGGAATTTAATCAGAACATCTCCGCCTGGGATAGACAGGGATGCAGAGATTGCTGCTCACAACGCTATTCTTGATTCCGGGAGTGCTGTGAGTTAATGCACTAGACTGCAAGTCGGTTTGAACTACAAAGGTCAGCGGTTCAAATTCACCAGCCATTCCTCAAAAACCCTACACAGGGTCGCTATGAATCGGAAAAGACTCAACGGTACTTAACAACTGTATTCCTACTACTTGCTACAATGTAGAGTCTCAATAGCTAACAATAAATATTCTTACTAGGGTACACAAAATTACAGGGCTATCCTACTTTATGAAAATTGAATTGTACTAATCAATTCTATTTTCATTTTATATTGTGTATTTCAATGGAATTCAAAGAATGAGTAAATTATTTTTTAAATTAGGGGAAAAAAACGTACAAGAAGGGAATTGGGAGGGGGAGAGCAAAGAGCTGGGAAATAAAAAATGAGGCAAAGGATTAACGAGGAAACCACACTATTACTAAGTTGGCAGATGAGGCTATGAATGAAACCCTTATTACACCACTCCCTGGGGTGTAGGGCCATGAGCTGGAAGTCAGCAGACGATGCCTGACTGGAGCCATACAGTGAAAGAGGGCACCTACTGAAAGAAACGCTAACAGTTCAGCGTGCTCAGGAGAGCTCAGGAATTACCTTACCTTAAAAAAATGTTCTCAAAATTCCTGACACAAATGTAACTTACGCCCTCTATTGGGAAAGTAAAGCCCCTGTGAACATCAGAATAAGACTCCGCGCATCTGGGTCCGATCTGATGTGCTCCCCGAGGAAGATTACGGTAAACTGCAAGGTTTCACTCTAGCTCCTTCACGAAGTGAAATCAGCAGTGAAGATCATGTGCAACCAGACACGTTCTAGCGAGCTGCTCACCTGCACGCCAGGCTGCCCAGCTATGGTCAGTGACAAGGTGCTAAGAAGGGGGACTCCTATTCTGGGGCAACATCTTTCTACAGTCCTGCTGAGACCCTTGTGGTGGGGCCAATAAACCTTACCTTGCCACGCCACCATAATCCAGGCCTTCTTCCCCGCGGAATTTCACCATCAGGCGCTTCTTCAAGTCCTTTGGCCGCATCTTCATTATCTGGCGATAAGACTCCTATACATAGAAAAATTACCGAGTCAGTCTCAAAATCATGATGGTGGAGCCCCACTAAAAATGTATTCATTCAAGTTAGATCAGAATATTAATATTAACACATTGCTGCTTCCATCAGTTTTTCCCTCAGATAACAAACACTAAACTAAAAAACCCCAACCCACTACGGTGGGGCCTATTCCAACTCACAGCCAACCTGCATGGTTGTTTCCAACAGGAGAAAGACGAGGTTTCCTGCTCCTGTAAAGATTTACAGCCTCAGAAACCCTGTACAGGGTCGCTATGAGTTGGAACCGACTCCACAGCACGTAACAACAACAAACCTTATGAAAAGCAGACTATCTTCCTCCTGAGCAGCAGCTGGTGTATTCGAGCCACACACTGTTCAGTTAGCAGCCCAACCCACTGCGCCACCAGGGCCCTTTGGCCAATACTACACGAAGGAAAACCATGTCACTGTCTTCAGTATGATCATTAATGGCTTAAGGTCAATGTCCTCACTAGAGTTGATTTTCTCTACACAAATTAACTCAATGTGCCTTATAAACCACGGATATACTGTTACCAAAATGACGATGCCATCAGCAATTCTGAATACCAGAACAACTGCAAGCCTGTTTTATCTGAGGTGAAAATTCACCCAGATGCCAAAGACGGTTTAAGGAAGACAAAGCCGCTTAGCCTGAAGCATAGGAAACACGCTGTCAGGCTAGTATTCCCCCGGTTCAGCATTTTCAGTGGAGCGCCCTAAGAGTTTGTAGATGGCTTCAGTGCTAGGGCACTTCAGACTCTCCTCACACTTGAAGGAGAGGGGATGTGGCAAGGACACCAAGCGGCAGCAGGATGGTAGTAATTCCACTCTTCTCATCTGGCAACTTTAAAGAGCGCGGCCCACCCCCTACACATTGGCTCACACAGGTGGCCTGTACCTTTCCTTGGCACCTGTTTCCCTGCAGAGGTGGTTCTCGCCCTCAGGGGCCACCCTCAGCTGATGAAGTGCAGTGAGAATCTACGTTCACACCACCTGGCTCAGGCCCATTTCATAACTTCTGCCTATGGCTCTCAAAGGCAGGCAGGGTACCACCTCGCCAGTTTGGACTTTATCCTGGAATCACCTTTTTTGAGGAAAAGGGGCCTGTCTGGACAGGGAAATGCAGGGAAGTCACCTTCCCAGGAAGCGAAAGGAAGCCACTGAGAGTGGCCTTATGAGAACCACTAAAAGTGGTGGGATCGACCACATTGTTTACGAGGTCCTGAGAGGTGCAAGCGGTTGAAAGCAGGTGGGCATCTGCTTCTACAGCGATCACAGCCAAGAAACCCCTATGGAGGAGCTCCACACGGGGGTACACGGGGGCACCACAAGCCTGAATTGACTGGACAGCAACGACAATAGTCGGAGCACAGAACTGCCCGTTTTCATCTCCAAAAGTGACGTCATTTAGCAACTTTTATCACAGGAGAAAATATATTTCCCTCCCTCTCAACAGGCACTGGTCCTGACAAACATCTGCATTTGGCTTAGCATGAAATTAACCGTGAAACACTCAATGAAGGGGAAGACATGCATAGACATGCTTAGCGCTGAAGAGCATTTGCCCTGCAGTGAGCTGCGCTCAATTCTGTACCTCAAATATTTCCTCTCGAGAGACTTCGATGCGGCAATGGCCAGCCTGGGGCTGCTGCAGTGAAAGTTCATGTCTGAGGACTTTGAGTTTCTGGACAAGGTCCCGCTCGTATCTCTGGGCAGGCAGCTCCTCGTCCTCCACTGAGCCTTCACTGGGCAGCGGCAGCGGCTGGCTGGGCTCCTTTAGCTGGCACTGGTGACTGAAGGAAACATCAAAGTCATCCCACAAGGCAGGGCCAGGGCAGGGAAGCGTGGTCCACACGCTTACTGTATGCAGCTCTTCCCTCGAATGCGTAGCTGTAGCATAACCATCACCATGAGACCAAACACAGGTGTAGGTGCTACAGAGGAGGTACCTCAATCCTGTTGTTGTCTGCCGTCCAGTTTGCTCTGACCCTATATAGGGTTTTCAAGAAGTGGCTGGTGGGTTTGAACTGCCAGCTTTGCAGTGAGCAGTCCAGTGCTTATCCTACAGTGCCACCCCAGGACTCCACCCCAACTCTACGCAACCACTTCTCATGCTTTATCGCTGCTGTAAATGAGGTAGAACTTGCTGCCAATTAACCACGACACCGAGTCCTGGTGCGCTGCTGTAGGGTTCACCACTGCCCTGTACCTCCCGGCTGCTCCTCGGAAACCCTACACGGGGGGTCGCTATGAGTTGGAACCAACTTGAAGGCACTTCACAACCACAATCCATAAGCACAGTGGCTACAATGGGCTCAAACACAACAGTGAATGTGAGGACGGCACAGGACTGAACCGGGCTTTGTTCTGTTGTACACACAGGGATTGCTCCGAGTCACAAGCAACTCAGCAGCACGTAACGACAACAACCACTGATCGCGCAGTGCGTGTCAGTTAGAAGTGAGTTTTTGTAAATTTTTTTGTAGGAGTTAAAGTCCGCACCAGAGCGAACAACTCAAGTGAAACGTATGGTGGTTCTTCACTGTGGGAGCCAAGACATTTCTAAGCCCAGCCATTCATTAACAGCCACATGCCAGGAAAATGAAAGGCGAAAACTGGAAGGGTGACCAAGTGGCATGTGTCTCGTCCACATGTTGCCACACAGATCTGATGGGAAGAGCTGTGTGTGCTGATCTGAGGCCCTGGAATGTGGGACCCCAGCTCACTGCGACTGCAGGGGAAGGCTCTGACAAGTCCCCACCTCAACAGAACCCACCCCACCTTCGCTGCTTCTTCCTGCACCCACTCCACCACGGACTCCATTCAGATGACACAAAAGGGCTTACGAGTGATTTGCGGGAGAAATTAGAGTTTACAACGTTTTGCTGAAGCTTATCCTCCACTAACGGACAGTGCAGTAGGCACACTAAGAAAACTCCCAGGCCCAAGCATTAATCTGAACACAAGACATCAACACAGAGTTGTGTTTCTTCAAAAATCTTACTTCATGATGTGGTGTAACCTTGGGTCTGTAAACTGGGTTGTTCGGTTGTTGTGATCTACAAAGTATATCCTCCCAGAAACAGTGCTTCTGACTTCCCAGCCAGGTGGCAATGGTCCAAGTTCATCACAGTTCACGCTGTTAAGGTCTCTACCAAAAGGGAAGACATAGAGAGGTTGGCCCATGTTAGCACGGAGGACAAGACCAAAGTGTTGACGTGGTGGCCACAGTGTCCTTATCAAAGCGTCTGTGGTCCAGTGGTCAGCTAAGATGGACAGTCACCACACTACTTATGTCAGACCCCCGCGAGATTCGAGCCGTTATGCAGCCAGCAATAGCCAGCTGCACCAGATAAACTCATTCTAACCATGACAGAGGACGTGGACTGCCAGGGAATATCCTGCCTTATAGTCAAGAGGGCAGAAATAGTACAAGTATCGGAATGATGCTAGAAAACCACCTGAATTCACAAGACCCATTCAACACTCAGAGTCAGAGCAGCTTCTCCACTGGAAAGCTCGCAGGTGGCAGGCTATGAGTCTGTCAGCGTGGTCGCCTCACACGCAAGTGCATGTGCGCCAAATTAGCAGGAGACACAGGGCAGAGACACGCTCACTTCCGTGCTGGCTGTTTGCTATTTCTGCTTCTGACCTCTTGACTATTTCAGTAGAACCCACACAAACTGGGGCTCCCAAGAACAACCATGACGCTTCCTAACGAACACAAAGCTTGTACTAACAAGTGGTCCAGTGGGGACATGAGAGACACCAGCCACTTGCATATAAAAAAGTCCATTTGAACTGTAGGCATTGAATGGAAAATTCAACATGGAGGCATAGACGAATGACAGTAAGCTTACACTCAAATGCAACAAAGTATGAATGAAACTGAAAACGGGTATTACCAGCATGTTATTAGGTAGTAATGCTAGTCTCAAAAATAAAAGTAGAATTTTAAAAGTTAAGAAATGCAAAGGAGAGGAAGAAAAATTGTGTTAGGAGGTGAGGTGGGGTGGGGGTCTTTGACCTGGGCTCAGCTGTATGGCCATGTAGAAGGAATTCGTATAGGAAAGCGCCATCTCCCCCAGGAGAGCTCCCCAAGGGACTGAGACAAAAGGGACAGTAAAGTAGAAAAGAAAGAGGGAAATAATCTTTGTATGTGCTTCACTGTCAGGGCATTTTTACTATGGAAATCTCTAAGCATTACAAGAAAACAGAACAGAATAAACCGTCATGAAACGAACATCAGAAAGTACCAACTCAGTTACCCAAACTTCAAGTACACCCCATTCACTCCCACCCCAATGTTTTAGAAGCAAATCCCAGGTACTTTTTAAAAACAGCCATCAGTATGTTTCACTTCCCATGAGAGCCAAGCATCTCCTACAAGAGGGTATTGGTTTATCACATAAGATCAACTTTATCGAGTACATTCAATATCACCTAGGGGAGAGGTCTTTCTGGGTCTAAGATCTAATTTCAAGATGCCATTCTCCAGAAAACCTTAAGAGTTTCAGCAGCTGCTGCTATATGACCTATGTAAGTCTAGAGGGGACAACAGAGCTGCTGGGGGACACACGGGGACACACACACAGACCGGATGGACACACACGGGGACACACACACAGAGCCTGATGGAGGACCCAATTTGCGGAAGCCCTCTTCTTCCCAGTTGACGTTTTCACACACAGGTGACATCGTTCGTACCTGGGAGACCCAGCCGAGAGCATGAACACTGAAGCAAGCCTACCTGGGTATCCTGGGGTCGTGCCAAGTGCTCACACCCGTCTGTGTGTGCAAAAAGTAAACTTGCCCCTGGATTGTGGTTCTTTGTTCTGCACACACAAAACAGCAGGGGATATGGTTAGTTCAATTTGAGGAAGAAGTGTTCTAGCACTCTGTTATCTTCACCAAGATTCGAAGCATCCTGTCACTGCTTTCAGAACAGAGAAGAAGATTTGAAAGGGCAGAGCTGAGTGTGCCCAGCCACCAGCCTCCACACACACATTGGTCTCATCTTGCTTTCCACTGAGAACTGCAGAGCTGATCCCTCCCCACCACCCTGTCAGCCACATCCCTGCGCGAGAGACTCTGTGTCCACACTCAGTAGCCACCTCCGTATCACCAGAGGCTGTGACCTCGGGCATTCTCTGCTGTGGCTACATTACACTCCTCCTCCTTCACTTCAGTGCTTCTCCCTGTGGTTGACCAATGATTATGTCACTCATCCCCCATCCAATCGCAGCATACAAATACCCCAGGTAGCCCAGATGGTGTCTCGGTTTCCTTTGGTATTCATTTACCCAAAACGTTTTGTCTAGTTTCTGAACTGGGACGTTACTGCCACAGCTGGCAATACAAGACCATCGGCCATCTTTCCCCCAGTTCCTTGCCTTGACACCACAAAACCACACCCCCCTGGACACCAAGGTGCCCAGGTTTCTACAGAAATGCTTAACACCGGCCACTAACCGGCTCACCAGAGAATGCCTCTCACCATAGCCCTCGGGCAGCTCAGGGGACTGGTGGCCATGTGGGCGGTTCTGGGGCGTCTGCAGGGACCCTCGAATCTCAGGATTCCGCAGCCGCTGCATCTGAAGTCTCTGATCATGGCTGGGGGACTCTGCGAAGCCACAGTTACCTCCCCCCGCAGCAGCTCCTGTACTATCGGTGTATGGAGCCGGCTCCTCCATGAAGCAGCTAAGCGGCCTCCCTGGCCCGGAGTCTTCATACACCGTTCTGGAAGGGAACGGGCACAACACAGAAGGGAGTCAGTCCCAGAGTCACCACATCAATATCTTAAACATGACGCTGTCAGTGAATGAGTACCCCAAATGCCTATTTCAGACAATTCATCTTGTCCCATTCAAACGGAAAGACTGATGGACTCCAGAAGGACAAAGATCCAAAGAAGTTACATTTAAAGTCCCCTTGAAGCCCCTATAGGGTATCATCCATAGGGAAGTGTGAAAAATGAAGGAAAACTGACCAGATATTATGAGATCAGATCATACCTTTTGTGATTACAAATCCAATCAAAACCCCTCACCCTCCATATTCCTCTATAATCTAATGTTATTTCTGGCTACAGAAACACCATTAAGTACTTTTTCACATAAATATTCACCCTTCTGAACAATTCTGAAACAAGTGCCTATTTTCCTTTATTAGCAAGTTGTTTTTAACCTTTTTATTGAAAAAAAAAAAAGCACAGGACATCACCATCACGTCCCCATCGTCCAGTTACACTGACCGCTACGTTAGTTCCTCCTGATTGTCACTAGAGCCTTTCAAAAACCAATCCCAGCATTTCATCAGTTCCTCCTGAAGTTTCGACTTCTCAAACAAGAACTTTCTCATGATCACATTGAAGGACATACATTCACTGTGGGTTACGCAAGGTCAGCAGTTCAAATGCACCAGCTGCTCCCTGGGAGAAAGACGAGGCTTTCTGCTCCCATAAAGATTTATAGCCTCGGAAACCCTATGCAGGGTTGCACTGAGTCAAAACTGACTTTGGGGCACATAACCGCCACTGTCACCAAATGCCAGTCAGTGTCGCATTTCTCTATCTTGTAAAGCCCCTCCCCCCCAACAAGGGTCCATACACTGCATTTAGGAAGTCTCTTATGTCCTTTCATATTAATTTATAGTCTTACTCCCTCTTGTTTTTCCCTCTGTGAAACACTGGGTGTCTGCCTCCTAAAGTGCTCCCATAGTGCCAAACTGCACTCCCACGGGGACACGCACTACATTCGTCTGCAGCCCCGTGCTTCCAAGGACAGGGATGAGGGATGCAGATTCCATTTTAGAGCAAGATGACTTCAGAGAATACATTTTCCCTTTCCATTCTGAAGTATATTAGTGTTGGATGGCTCTCAGATGACGCTGGTATTGCTAAGAGCCATTGAGTTGGTTCTGACTCATAACAACCCTGTTTAGGGTTTCCAAGGTGTGGTCATCCAGTGCTATCTGACAGTGCCACGTTAACTACTATTAATGCCGGTGGTCCAACTTTCTGAGGGGTGGCACATGTGTGGTGGTCTGCTTCGATCATCCCTTCTTCATTTATTAGCTGGCAGACTTGCACAGGAACTTCCTCTCATCAGTTACTGGGGTCCCAGGGATATGGTCTCCAATGGAAGGGTATATCAGAAGATTGCTTCTGTACCCTGATTTCAGTTATCAAAATAACAAGCTTTCTTGTTGTTAGGTGCTGTTAAGTCCCTTATGATTCATAGTGACCCTGTTCAGGGTTTCCAAGGAGAGGCTGGTAGGTTTGAACTGCCAACCTTGTGCTTCAAACTGACTTTGTGGTACAGTGTTTATCCTACAGCGCCATACCCCCCCAGGACTTCACAAGCTCACTGCTGCAGTTAAATGCGGTGTCAAATTGGTTCTGACCCAAAGTGACCCTATATAGGATTTCTGATGAGTACCTGGTAAGCTTGAACTGCCGACCTTGCAGTTCAAAAGGACTCTGTAGTCCAGCTCATTAACCCACAGTGCCACACCAGGACTCCTCACAAGCTCTCTAGTTTCCCCTGAAGTTCACCAATGAGTGGTTTTGAGGGTTTTGGGGGGTTTTATGGTAACTGAGTGAAGGTTTACAGAGCAGATCATCAGTTTTACATTTAGCAAATCATATACTGTTTCATTACGAAGGTTGTTAATTCCCTCCATGAGCCACCAGTTCACAGCATTTGCTGCCATTTCCTTGAACTCTTACACTCCTTCCTGTGTCTCCTGCTACTTACATCTTTCCTCTGCCAGCCAGAGGAAAGGGTTTTTTCAAAAGTGCATTTTATCCCCAAGTGTCATTCTGAACTCATGGATTCTTAATATATATACATATATATATATATGGTGGTTTCAATTCACTGCAGTTCTAATTCTTATTGATGCTCAAACTGCCCATCTCGGCAAACTGGACTCTGAGATGCTTTGGCATAGCCCCAGGAGTCTTGATCACTTCCTTTATAAACAAGTCAAGTGGACCTGGATTTCATCCCAAAGTCCTTGTCGGCACCTCCCGCACTCGGCGCAGTGAAGTAAGGAACGCAGGGCCCCACCGAGGGCTCTACGTCCACTGCCCCAGCCATACGTACCCTTCATTTTCCAACAGCCCCCTGCAGTCCACCACAGCCCCTCCCGTGCCGATTCTGTCTCGTGTTTGTAAACTGACTAAAACAGAACAGAAGGCCTCAGGTTAGGATCCAGTGGTAATTTATACAAGTGTAATACAGAGAACCATTGAAATTTAAAATCAATGCACAGTATTCTAAAACACACCGAGACATATGAAAACACACACACAGTCCTGTACTTTCAAGCGAGACACATTTTCCTCCAGCAGCAGCACGCTGCCCTGTACCACCTGGAACATTCCTCACTTGTGTTGAGCAGGAGGAGATGCTGTGCTTCTCATGCTGCACATAGAAAAACTTATATGTCCTTTCAAATTAATTTATAGTCTCCCTCTCTCGGTTTTTTTTTTTTTTTTTTTTTTTTTCCAAAAAATAAAGCAAAACAGAACTCAATATTCACTTCCTCTCAGCAACCTCCTTAAAAACGCCTTCAACTCAGGTTTAACAAGGGCACAGCAAGAGCTGCCCGCGCCCATAACGTCTATGTGACTACAGACAGACTCTAGCCTTTTAGGGACACCACAGACACAGACAGTGCCTTCCAGCTACAGTTCCTCCGACATGGCCCTCCACAAGGAAAGGCACGAAGAAATCACAGGCAGAAAAGCCTTCTGTGAGAGTGTTTTCAGGATGTATCCCCGGTTCCTCATTTCTCTTGGGTCAAGTCTACGTAGGACAGCATGGACAAGAACTGTGGCTACGCAGTGGTTCGGGGATGCTGTGGAGATTTTTCTTTGTTCCCTTATAATGCATCTGGTCACTATTCGAGTGACTAACATGTTAATAATCGGACAATCGAATGAGCTACTTAACAAATCCATCAACTTCCAATGGGCTACCTCCAGTTAATAGTTGGCAACAACAGAACTTGTAATTTTTTTAAAGATTCTAATGTAATTTTTCTGATTGTATATTCTATGGAATTCTGTAAAACTCATCTTAGCTTTTCACACAGATGCTAGGCCTCCCACTCTCACCTATGTGGCCACCAGTGTCATTGCCTACATTTGAAGATACAATAACCTGTAAGTGTTGCGTCGAGTTGTGTGATGACTAAAATTGCATTTGAAACTATACTCCTGACCCTTTTCCAGCACCTTAACCATTTTAACTCAACTTTCAATGGTAGGAGGAAGGGAATTCAATATAAATGACACAAGCTGGAAAGTTCTAGTACTGAGGAGATGGCTCATGTGTATGGCCTGTCCTTCCAAGGGTGACCTCCTTGGCAGTCCCCGCCTCTGTGTGTTTTCTCAGGGATGAATTGCTGAAAGTGAAGTTCCGGAAAAGCATCTCTTTATACAGAGGAGAAAATTCTTACCCACTATTTGGCCACGAACTGCATCAGTATCTGAGGGATTTAGTTTGCATAGATCCAAACGCTGGTCTGCAAACAAACAATTCAAAACTTAACCCAGGGAAATGTCAACTAGAGGGAAAGGCAGGAATTCTGTTGTCAGCATTCAAAACAGAAAGGGCGCCTCCTGAGCCTCCTTCAGTTGCATGAAGAGGCAGGGAGGCGTTTGGCTCTTACATCCGGTATCTTTTAACCTGCTGATGGCATTGGAGAGCAGCCGGACACAGCCCAGGAAGCCAGCTCCCTGCTTCTTGTGAATCTTCTTGTGGTTCCACACGCTGATGGTTATTGAATCCGTTTTCCCAACATATCTGAAAAGAGCCATGACAACTCATTTTTTATTTCATTTCTGGACAAAGACATTAGATGGAGATTCTGTCTGATGGACATTTTGCATAGAGGGCTTACCTTTAAAATCATGCTGGCCCTGCACCCCACATAATAGGCACTCAGTAAGTGCGTGCCTCCTAACTTCAGTTATGTAAGGAGCAAAGGCCAGTTAACCACAGAAGGCAAAAACTCATACAGAGATCATCATTCCATGCTGTTGTTGTATGCTGTCTAGTCGGTTCTGACTCATAACGACCCTGTATAGGATTTCCAACACTTAAATCTAGTTGGCAGGAATTTATGAATCTTAAGGCATGACGGGAGTTACCATGTGGCATTATAAGGTAAGCAATGGACTACAAGGTCGCTTGAATTGCAAAGTTAGCAGTTCAAACTCACCAGGTCTCTGAGAGTAAACTGACTTAATGGCAGTTTAACAACAACAACACTTACAAACCCACCCATCCATCCAACATATACAAAATGATACAAGGGCAACTCAGACCCCACCCACCACCAAATTAAAAAAAAAAAAAAATCTACATTTCTTTTTCATTATTTGAACTTTTTAATTTGGCTGAAAGTTCTCAGAGCAGAGTGGTTTTTAGTGACCGCTTCATAATCATCGTGTTTTGTGGCGCTGCCTGCAGTCCTCACAGTGTCACAGCACTCTCCCCATGTCCCTGGGTTCCCTTTCCATGCACCCTTCCTACCTTCTGAACTGCCTCCCTTTGGATCTTGGATGGTTGATTGTTCTAAGGAGTGAGTACATCTTACAGGCATATCGTTTGACCAAGCTATGGGGAAGCGTCCACTGAGTCCCAGTGCAAGTCAACCACCGAGAGGAGCAAAGGTACAGGAAGTGACAAGCCCTTTCCAAGTCACTTCAGGTTAAGTCAGGAGAACAGAAACTGAATTTAGACTCCCTCAATCACAAATTCTGCCCAATGCAGAGCTTATAGAACAGTATTTATTTTTAATGATTTTCAAAGGGCAAACCGTTTTATGAATGAGTATAAGAAACTGTCTTGAGAATTTGTGGGAGTCCTGGTGTCGCATTGTAGGATAAGTACTAGACCTCAAGGTCAGTTTGAACCACAAGGTGGGTGCTTCAAACTCATGAGCTGCTACTAGGAAGCACTAGAAAGGGTCGTTTATGAGTCGGGACCAACTCGACAGCACTTAACAACAATGGTTTGGGGCTTATATATTTAATCATGCAAAACTGTATTTTCTCCTGCAGAAAATCTGTTTATATTAAAAGGATTTTTTTTTTTTTAATCCATAGACATATGTAGTCAAGATCATGTATTTTCTTAGATCAAGACTGTACAGTTGGGGTTTGGGCTGAACAGAAAAGCATGAGCTTTGGGGAAGGCACCAGGGCCTTCTCTCCTGCTATAAGGGGCAGGAGGTGGGTGGGAAAAGCTGTCAATCACAGTTAGAAGCAAAACATAAAGAACTACAACCACCACCACGTAGAAACGTGGAATACAAGAGCTTCCAAGTATCTGAATTCTAGAAACCAGCAGTATGTATTCCTTTAGATGTCCACTTTGGTTTGATCAATAACAAATTAGTAATCCTTTCTTTTCGGTCAACCCAAATCCCCCCTCCCACCCCCTGCCATGCTCCTCCTAAAAGATGGACCCCTATTTTCCTGCTACACCCCCAGGAGCTCAGAGAACGTCCACTCACAGGTCATAATGCTGATTCCACTTTGGGTCCAACGTGTTTTTCACAGTGTCAGTTGAGTGGCACTGCCCAGACCCGTCCACAACGATCTTTGCAAAAGGGTCGGGAAGTCCTGGGGGAGAAGGGACAGTTAGAACTGGTGAAGAGACCATGGCTCTCACAAAGGAGAGTCTTTCAGGCTGGAGGAAGCCTGATCATCTCATTTGATGAGAACAATTAAACGTGTATATTTACTTCTCTAGTTTCGATCAGCGAATATATGCCTTGTGTTTTGCTCTGAGAAAGGCAGTTCAATATGACATCACGCTTACGGTTTTTTGGTGGTATGAAAAGAAAACCATGTTTCTTAAAAAGCTTACATTCAAATTTCCATTTCTGATGAATTAAGTGGAAGAAAGGGGGCCTGAAATTAATTATATTTTCTTAATTTCTAAGTCTGTCCAGCTTGATGAAGAAAAGCCTGGGGATCTACTTCAGAAAATCAGCCACTGAGGCAGAGTGGGGCACAACGGCACAGACGGCGCAGGACTGACAGCATGGGCACGGGGGGTGGGGGTGGGGGTGGGGGTCACACCATTAGGAGGGGGAGGATTCGATGGCAACCAACAACAACAGCACTTTCTAAGAAAAAAATAATAGTACCCAGAAATCTTGCTTACTATCTATGGAATCAAATATTTTCCAAGTCTTAGGGGAGCTCCTCAATGTTATGAACCAGACAGGCTGACAAGCTCAGAAAGGTGCCGAGGTAGAAGGTTTTGGAGCAGACCTGGATGGTGGCTAGTGCCCAGAACCTCCTAGTTACTTGGGTAAAGCCTTTGAGGCTAAGTTTTTTTGGGTACAAAATATGGCTCACAGCACAGAGGACCGTTTCTGTGAGGACCAGAAAGCATGTGAAGAATGGTGTCAACCCTAACTTACAAGCAGGTGAATGAATTCCTAAGGTTAAAAGATTCCCATTTGTATGTATGTACAGTTTCTTTAATGACAGGACATCTAAATTGTGATTTCACTTACAAACTTGGATTGAGCAATTTTACTGAAACCCAGTTATTTTGTAGGAAAAGAAAAAGATAAAGGCTCCATCTGGATTTGAGTTGAGGAACACTTCATCCAAAAGAAAGCTCTCACTGGGGACCATGGGGATAGTCTCCCTCCTAAGATTGCTGAGTCTGAGGCTCCGTTTTAGGAGCTTGGGAAATGGCGCTTGTCAGACATCAATTCCTACTCAGTAAGGCAGGACTTTTTTAAGAACACACCTAGGACTCCTGAAAAACATTAAACTCTCAGAAACATGCGAAGAACATTAATATCAGAAGATGGAGAAAAGAAAGAATGTCTACTTACGGAAGAAGTCTTTCTTTGCAAGATTCTTGGCACATAATACTGGAAAAAAAACAAAAAATGCTGAATTAGCATTATGGGCAAGATTTCCACCACAGGTAGTATATATCTGTAACGGGGGTAAATGATGGTGGTCAATGATTTGTCTTTCATAATTGGTAAATAAAACATTGAGATGTTATTGACAAATAGCTGAAAAGCAAATGGTTTGTTTTAGCTTCACATCATACTCTAACACATAAGGATGAATTTAGCAATAATTCTTACGCTACATAGGCTAAGAGTCCTGGTGTGGCATTGTGGGTTAATGAGCTAAACTTCAAAGTTGGTTTGACCCGCAAGCTTAGCAGCTCCATCTATACAGTGTCACTTATGGGTCGGAACCGATTCAACAGCACTTAACAACAACATCACAGGATATTAAAAACCAATTAGAAAAAAGGCCTGCAGCATTGATCTTTCTATCTCCTGCTAACACTCGCCTCATATGCATGTGGAAGCTGGAAAATGAGTAAGAAAGACCTAAGGAGAATTGATGTCTTTGAATTATGGTGTTGGCAAAGAAACGTAAATATCTATCATGGACTACCACTAGAACAAACAAATCTGTCTTCAAAGAAGTACAGCTAGAGCTACTTTAAAGTAGACAACCCCATGCTTTCTAGTCCACTCACAAAGTTGTGCAACCTTCACTACAGTCAACTGGAGACCACTTACACGGCTCCCCACAGAAAACCGGGAACAAGCATACCTTGTTTATTTGCTTCACTTTACTGTGCTAAGCAGATAAGAGTTTTGTTTGTTTAAAACAAATTGAAGGTTTGTGGCCACCCTGCATTAGGCAAGTTTATTGGTGCCATTTTTCCAAAAGTATGTGTTTACTCTATGTCATGATGTTACATTTTAGTCATTCTCACAATATTTCATTTTTTTTTCCATCATGCTATCGCACACTTCCTTCAATTTTGGAAGTTGTGGCTTGAATTTTTCCTTCTCTTTCAGCGTGAGAAATGTTGAGTGTGTTCTTCCCATTCGACTGTGTGCATCATGACAAGCTATGGATAACATTGCAAAGAACAGGTATTCCAGGACACTTAATTGTGATCATGAGGAACCTGTACATAGACTAAGAGGCAGTTATTCAAACAAAACAAGAGAACACTGAATGATTTAAAATTATTTTATGATTTAAAAGGTGTGCACCAGGGTTGTATTCTTTTACCAAACTTATTCAATCTGTATGCTGAGCAAATAAACCAAGAAGCTGAATTATATGAAGAACAAGCAATGTGTCATCAGGATTGGAGGACGATTCATTAACAACTTGCTTGATGGAAGTGAAGAGGACTTACAATATACTTGCTGATGAAGATGATGAAGATCAAAGACCACAGCCTTCAAAATGGGTTACATACCTCAATTATAAGAAAAAAATCCTCACCAATCAGCCAATAAATAATATCATGATAAATGGAGAAAAGACTGAAGTTATCAAAGACTTATTTTGCTTGGGTCCAGAATCAACATTCATGGAAACAGCAGTCAAAAAAAAAAATCAAATGATGCATTATATTAGGCAAATCTGCTACAGAAGACCTTTTTTAAAGTGTTCAAGAGCAAAGGTGTCTGTCTGAAGACTAAGGAGCGCCTGACCCAAGCCACAGTATTTCCAATAGCTTCATATGCATGTGAAAGTTGGACAACGAATAAAGAAGATGGTGGAAGAGTAGATGCATTGGAGTTATGGAGTTGGAACAGAATACTGAAAGTACCATGGCCTTCTCAGAAGAACAGACAGATCTGTATTGGAAGAAGGATGGCCAGAGTTGGTCCTTAGAAGCCAGGATGCAAGACTTCATCTCTCTTACTTCAGACATCTTATAGGGAGGGATCTATCCCTAGAAAAGGACATTATGCTACGTAAAGTGGAGGGTCAGCAAACAATAAGACGACCCCCAATGAGATATTGGGACACTGGCAGCAACAACGGGCTCAAGCATAACCACAACGGTGTTTTGTTCCGCTGTGCATACGGTCACAGAGTCAAAACCAACTTGACAGCACTTAACAACAGGAACAGCAACATTGCACCCCTCACAGTCTACAATATGGTGCAACCATCACTTTGCTATGAACTGGGAAACCAAAACAAAATTGTGTGGCTCGTTTTACTGTGGTGGTCTGGAGCTACACCCCCAGTATCTCTAGGGTCTGCTGTACACATTAGCACTCACATACACACACACACACACACACACAAACATCCCCCCTGCCTGGGGTCCTATGCAACCATTAATTTGCCAACTCGGGACATTTCATATAAATTAAATCATAAAATATGTGACCTTTTGTGACTGGCATAATATTTTGAAGACTCATCTATATTATAGCATGAATCAGTAATTCATTTCTTTTTATAACTAAATACTATTGCACTGTGTGGATGCATACCACATTTTGTTTCTCAATTCATCAGTTGACGGATATTTGGGACAATTCTACTTTGGGGCAATTATGAACTCATGGGGTACATACTTATCTTGTATCGGCTGAAATCACCTAATCAGCCTTTTCATTTTTTGTGTGGATTCCTTCATATTTTTTAATATAAAATCGTGGCATTTGCAAATAGAGGTAGTCGTACTTCTTCCTTTCTGATCTGGGGGCCTTTTGTTTCTTTTTCTTGCCTAACTGCCCAGCTCCTCCAGCATAATATTGAAGAGAAGTGGTGGGCATTCTGTCCTACTCCTGATCTTAGGAAGAAAGCATTCTTTCAACCATTAAGCATGGAATCACCTGTAGGTTTTTCATCAATGCTCTTTGTCGGGCTAAAGAAGTTTCCTCCCGCTGTAGCTTTTGAGTGTTTTTATCACGTTGCTGTTGTTAAGTGCTGTCTAGTTGGTTCCAACCCATAGCGACCCTGTATAGTGTTTCCTAGGAGAAGCTGGTGAGCTTGAACTGCCAAGCTGGAGGTTCAAACAACTTTGCAGTCCAGCGCCACACCAGGGCTCCTTTATCATGGTGGCTGATGGATTTTGTTAAATTTTTTTCTAGGTTTGTTGAGGTCACCATTTGATACAATGCGTTACTTTCCTTGACCTTCAGATTTGAAACCAACCTTTCATTCCTGGAACAAATTCCATTTGCTGTGGTATATAATCCTTTTTATATGTCACTGAATTTTATTTTCTAGTATTTTGTGGAGAATTTTATATCTCAATTTATCAAGGAGCTCTGGTAGCGTAGTGGTTACTAATCGGGCTATGAATCGTAAGGTCAGCGGTTCGAAACTACCAGCCGCTCCACGGGAGAAAGATGAGGCTTTCTACTCCCGTAAAGATTTACAGCCCCGGAAACCCTGTACAGGGTCGCTATGGGTCAGAACCAACTTGACGGCACTTAACAACAACATTTATCAAGGCTACTGGTCTGATGGTTTGGATATCTTATGTCTAGTTTGAGTATCCGAGCAATACTGGCATCATAGAGTAAGCTGAGAAATGTTCTCTCCTGTTCTATTTTGTTTTGGAAGAATTTGTGAAAATTTTATCATAATTCTTCTTCAAATAATTTGGAAGAATTCACCTGAGAAGTCAGCTGGCCTTAGACTTTTCTTTGTGGGGTGTTTTAAATGACTAAAGGCTTTACTATTTTAGGTCTAGTCAGGTTTTCTATACCTTCTTGAATCATTGTTGCTAGCTTGTGTCTTTTAGACGTTAGTCGATTTCATCTGCAATATGAATGGCAAAGAGTAGGCCAGAGTTCTCCCTGATAATCCTTTTTACTGCTGTCAAGGGAGTAGTCACATCTCAGTGTAATCTTCACATCCTTCCCTTCCAGTCCCATAAAAAATATGTATTAATCTGTTGCTATATACCACTGCGTTGATTCCTACGCCCAACGACCCTCTAACGGCAGCCTAGAACCGCCTCCTAAACTAATCTTTATTAACTCAAACTGACAGGTCTTTTCTCCCACTGAGCGGCTGGTTCATTTAGCAGCTGAGCGTTTGCTTAACCACTGCCGCCACCAGGGCTCTTATAAATAAATCGACCCCCATCTTTTCTCTTCTTCGCAATATCAAGTTATTACAGCTCTTGCTGGTATGTTTCTCTAATTATAAAAACAATCCAAAGTGGTGAAACATAAAAATATGGAAATATGTATACATGCCCATAGCCCTCACATCATTACTTTGTTCAGCATTTTCCTGGCTCAATTCAAATGTTTATTTTTCCTACTGAAATCATTTTCCCTTGAATCATTTGGGGCAAGTTCATAAAAACAACTTTATAAAAATTTCTAAGAATTCATTTCCTCACAATATTGAATATTCCCATTCTTTAAGGCCCTTAAGTGAAGTTTTTAAAGTACTTCATAAATGCTGTATGCATTTCTACTGTTTACCCTGTAGTGTTTTGTTGTACAATTGTGAATGAGATCTCTCCTTTCCTTACAGTTCCTAAGGGTTTGGACTTAGAAACTCATTTGGTGTCCGTAACCTTTGTGAACTCTTCTTATGAGTGGGCCTTGCCTCCTTCGGCTTCTGTATCCTTTCTCAAAGCTTTGATGGTCTTAAAGGCTTCTCATCTGAAACTCAAAGTACCTAAAACCAAAGCCAAGATCTTCCCACCCTGGCTACAAGCCTGGTCCAACACCCCTCAACTACTCGAGCAGAAACTAGGCACAAGTCATTTAAGGTCATGTTGAATATCCAGTTTAGTTCATGGCATGGCATCTCTTCTTACTAAGCTAATTTTGTGACCTTAAAAGCAAATTCTCTTGTCTACTCTAGGAGACTGAATAATGAAAAAAAGAGCATTGATTACCCAGCATAAAATCCTAGTCTGTCTGGATCTGACATTCTTTTTTTTACACAAGTAAGTATTAGGCACTAATTATGAGTGAGGTCCGACAAATGACAGAACAACAGCCCACAACAGAAACACTGTCCTGCTCTTTATGAAGTGTCTAGTCTGCTGTATGCCAGGGCAGGAAAGGCCTTACTTGTACTCAAAACTCAGCTTACTTTTCAGTGCAGA